TTGTTATGGCTACATATCATCTAACTCCGTACAATCCCCCCTCCCATTTCCCCACAATAGAAAAGGCACAGCAGAATAATAGCAAGTGTGGCAGGCCAAAGATCCAAAAGAAAAGATGGCTGCAGGCTTGACACTAGTTTAGGCAGGACAGTGGTGGTACAGAAAGACTCAATCCACTCAATCTAACCTGAGTTGGATATCTAAGGAGAGGTTCAAGCCCATATGAGTCCTAGGTGGGATTAGGGAAGGAGATGTGATGTATTATGAAATCTCCAGTCTACTTTTATATGTCCAAAGTGGTTCTGGTATGTCAACATACACAATTGTGTTATATTTCTTAGGTAATTGCTAATGTTTAAACCATCAGCTTAGTCATAAGACCCAGGGCCAACTCTTTTAATGTTCTCCATCATCTAGGTCATGTTGCCCCAAAGGTGCTTTTTCCAAAAGACAACTGGACTTCCTTGGTTTTTTTTCATTGAACATGTCTACCTTCTCATCCAAAATATCTCTTCAGTTCTCCTTAGTTCAGAAGAACCGAAGAAGCTTCTTAGATCAAAAGCGAAACATTTTCAAGTAAAAAAAACCAAGAAAGTTCCATTGCCTTTTGGAAAAAGCACCTATGGGACAACTCTTTCAATGCAACACAGAGCCCCTTAGGACAGCCCCACAGGCAACTGAGAAGAAAGAACCTCACGTTCAGACTTCTGAGGTCAACTCATGCTTCTACCTTCCATAAAAAGCTGGCTCTTTTGTCTATTGCAGACCATTCTCAAGGCTTTGGAGGCCGTTACGGGGTGCAGAAAGACAGAGTGGACAAGGTAAATGGAGGTTGAACCTGGGGTGGGCTCATCTGGGTCTTGATGGTTGGGAGAAGGTGCTCCAGGAGGACATTAAACCACTCAAACTCTCTAGTGCGAATGGTTCTCATTCTAGCCCCACTGCTTGATTTAATTCTCCTGATATCAAGGTTTCAGGACAAGCTCTTCCAACCTTTCCCCCTGCAGATATGTCGGACTACAACTCCCATTCATTAGAGTCAGGGTGTCCATAACTTCCTTCTAGCCTTTGGCAGTGGACTTATGCTACCCCAGGGATACACAGGGAAGTAAAAGAATGTCGAGAGGTCACCCACTTCTGCGAGATGGAAGCCCCACTGCTTGTTGTATGTCTGCCTTGCATGGGGTCCATATAAAATACCAGTGGAGGAATCTTTGATTGAGCTCCATGATGGCTTTGTGGGCTTCTGCAATGACCGTTGTTGCTGCATTCTTAAACTGGTTCCATTAAGCCACGTTGCAGCCATTTTCAACCAGACATAAAAGGAGAAAAATCTGTTTTACACGAACTACAGATTCTTCAGGGGAAGGATAAATCAGGAATGGGTGTAATAAGCATAGATTAGTTTGCCAACCTGAACAACTTGAAGATATGTGGACTTCACTAGAAGTGAGTGGGGAAACCTACTGATGATGTTCCATAGATGGATCATGGAACATCTGCAAGAAAACTGCGAGCTCAGAGAGCATCAAGGGCCCCACAGTCATCCTCCTTCTCCTCTTCCTCCTCCTCTCCACCACCACCACCACCTCCTCCTCTTCGTCTGCAAATCCCACTCCTTTCTAGCACTGTTGATGCCCATAGTTGGGTCATGAAACATCTGCAAGAAAGCCACCAAGCTCAGAGAGCACCAAGGACCCCAAGTCTACCTGCTCCTCCTTCTCCTCCCATCCCTCCCCTCTAGCATCGATGATGATGTTACCTAGTTGGGTCATGAAATGTCTGCAAGGAAACCACCAAGCTCAGCCAGAACCAGAACTGGACTACGAATGTAGTCTTTGATCGGTTTCCCTTGACTTCTCTTGCAGAGCGCTGCTGGTTTTGGTGAAATGGAAGCTCCCATTTCTTCATATCAGAAGACAAAACCTGTAGAAGCTGGTAAGTTCATTCATGGGCACCTGGGAAGACGGGGAAGATCTCACAGAGAGCAAAAAGTGCCCCTTTCTCATCTCTGGCAAGACGTATATGGATGTGGAATATAGAATCAATTCTGGGAGTTGAAGTCCACAGGTCTTAAAGTGGCCAAGGTTGGACACCCCTGGTTTAATGAGAAACTAGAGGGAGAGAGGGATAGGAGAGAGGGTAAGGGGGGAAGATGAGGAGGATAAGGAGGAGTGGAATGCAGAGAGAGGAGAAGGAGAAAGGAAGGGGAAGTAG